ATTAGTTTGTGCACAGTTGCCGGAACAACAACTGATTTTCGACGACCTTCTTGGAGTGATCTGTAACTGCGATTRAACTCAGCATACCATCGATAAACACTGAAATTTGATGAGCACTGTTACTGATATAATCGACGTCGGAAGTTGTAAAAAATAATCGGCCGAAAGCGTTCGCGATTTAATTCCATATAGTAGAGATGTATATTTTAAGTTACTGTAAACAAGGCAAGTGGCGCCCGTATGTCAAAACGTACTGAGTATTAATGTGGGACCGACAGACGAACGCAAGACAACTAGAAGTGGACGTAACTTTTAACAACTATTAAATGCGACCTTGTAAACTTGACGAACAGAATGACGAAAAGACGAAGATGAGGAAATAAAAACGGACGGTAACGCGTACTTCGAAAGAGTCAGTCAATTTATGGTCATCAAACCTAAAAGACCATCTAACATATTTTATAATAAATCTAATCTTAAATAAACCTAATTAAATAATTTAAAAATAAACCGACTTTGGTTTAATTCAAACCTACATTAATAACATTAAACAAGTTAAATTATTAGATCAAATTGTCAGTTCTCAGATTGCAACACTAGCGTTGCCAAATCCCTAAATTATATAGGTTAATTTTGCCTAGAGAACGCTTGATTATGGGACTGTAAGCTCGATATGTATGTGAATTTTACACGGAGTACTCTCTGTGAGTTGGGGAATTTATTAATTGTGATATTTGATGGTAAGTATCTGTTCTCAATAGGATACAGATACGGTTTGAAAAGAAATACAAGTAATCTGCGCTGCGGGTTAATTCAATTTGATGCAATCACTTAGTTGGGGTTCTACTTGCTACTTACCAATAATTGTTCGCGGTGAATTCTTCAAAAGCGTGCTAAATTCTGATTTTATTATCCATTTACAATCATGAGGATGTATCAATAACATATCTTCTATATGTACGCATGTTTGTAAGTAGCAGCAATAGTGATTTTATGAGTCAAAGATCTGGTTCTGGTAACTGCGAAAGAGTTGTTGAAAACAGTCGGCGGCACTTTACATTCGCTCGCTATATCTCGTAAATCACAAGAGCTATAGAAAAAATGTACATGCCAAAGCTTTTTTACTAAATACCGTCTATGAAAATTCTATAAAAGCTTACTTAAAAAGCCGAATATCTCGAGAAATATTAATGATAGCGATATTGACCACGGACCCGTTTTTGTAGCAAATAAAATTTCCTACAAGTCTACAAGTTTGACATGTATATTTTTTCTATAGTTCTTGTCATTTACGAGATATATACAAAAAATGGGAGTTTTTTAGGAAAATCAGGCTTAGAGCCCCGTACTACCTCACCAGTGTGAGTTAAGATTTTGTCGCTATGGCCACTTTTGTAGCGTGTTCAATTCTGAGAAATATGTGTCAAAGTCAAAGCGATGCATTAAAATGTCTCTAAGCTATATAAATTTAAAAATAAACAAGTAAGGAAGGGCTAAGTTCGGGTGTCACCGAACATTTTATACTCTCGCATGATAAAGTGATAATCGAGATTTCAGGCGTTGTGAACCGATTTCACCCATATTTGGTACATGTCATCACGGTGTCAAGAAAATATTATGTACCGAATTTCATTGAAATCGGCTGAGTACTTCCTGAGATATGGTTTTTGGTCCATAAGTGGGC